CGTGACAGACACAGTGATGATGCAGTACACAAGCCGCGGTTAAGACCGCTGACGTGCTATGATTTCTGACAGGCAGTTCACTCTCCTGTGATGTGACCCTGTTCCCCTCACACACACACACACACACACACACACACGACGCCTTATTCTGCGCTGTGCAAACTCTGCATTTGAACAGTCAATAGCAAATACTTAAACTAATAACAAAACATACTTACAGTCGCTGATTCAGAAGCGCCAGATTGCCATTGCAAAGTCGGAATTGACCCTTTTTCTTTTTTTTTGGAAATAGCCTTTGTGCACAGCCAGCCTTGTACTCTTCTAGGTTCAACAGGTTGTGCTGTTCTGTTGTAAATAAATCTTAACAAATGATTCCTAATTGCATCTTCTTCCGGAAGGCCAAATAAAGTGCTTTTGCTTTCGCACTGAAACACAGCGTCTCCCTGACATGGCTGCATCAGCATGACTGCTATTCCTGAAGCCACGCCTTCTTTCTTTGGGCGGCATTATGCTAATATTTCCACATAGTGATGTAGACATGTGGGGGCGTGTTAGAACGAGTCGTTTTAGGTAGGCGTGGCTGACTCTTAACTTTTATAAAGAATATCTCATTGGGTTTGAGACTTTAGTCTTTGCAACTTTACAGATCTTCTTTATGCTCCAAGAGCTTGTAACACTCCAAAGAGAAAGGAAAACTTGAAATCGCATCATATGACCCTTTTAAGTAAATATAATGGGCGATATATTGAGTCACCAAAAATTATTGAGGTCATGTACATAATTGCGCGAAGTCGATATATATTGATTGCGACAGGCCTATATACAATATAACGGAGCAAATACTTTTTCATCAGATTAATCTAATGTTGATTGTAAAATTGGTAAACTACACCGTTTGTCTAATGGAAACAATGGTTAAAATCTCATTCTATAACCAAACTGACTATTTGAATCCTCCAGGAGTCACAAAAAAACAGTTTTCGATGCATCAAAAAAATCTTGGCAAAAGGCAGAATGGGTTTGTACTTTTATAATCTTTTGGGGAAAGATCTGGCAAGATGCTGTTATCCTGAAGAGATCTATTGATACAGCTGTGCTCTCATCACACAGAGGACCTTTAACAGGGTGGAATTCACTTTGATACACCGTGTAAATCTGCATTTTTTTTGTTTATGTAAAAAAAATATATATATATATATATATATATTTTAAATGGTCTTTTTTCATTTGCAGTCATCACACATCTGATTTTGCTTTGACATTATGATGTATGGAGTGTAGTCTGATGTGGAGGCTGCAACATAAAATGTTGGGAAAAATGAAGGGGTCAGAATATTTTTTAGTGAAATGACAGATGCCCACTGAAGTAAAACCATCTCACGGTCTGATTTTAAAAACAGCATGCTGCACAAGTAATCATTTTTCACACAATGTACTACAATTTATTGATTAATGAAAGTCTCAAATTTAAGACACCAAATGAGAAAAATTGGGAACAATCAAATAGTAATAAAAATGTACATACTGATCGCTTTTAAAAAGACCAATCACATTTCTCACAAACTGGAAAAGACAAGAGGACTAAACGATCACATTTCTGCCTCAGTATTTACACTGCGAGTATTTTGTGTTCAGAGATCTTGTTTGTTGTGCTACAGAAGCCCCTGGCGTTTCAGATCCTCAAAAGTCTTCTTGTTGACCACGTTTCCGCTGGAGTCTTCATATTCCTCCTGCAAGACCAAAAAAAAAAAAAGTATATATACACACATTTCCATTCTGAACTCAAACATCCAGTCTCAAGATTTATTCCCACTTGAAAACGTCACTAATCTTTCACTCTCCAACAAGGAACATATCAAGCAGCCGAAGCAGAGTTTGAACAGCTGATTAACACGGGCTAAACCTGCCGCTTCAGTCAGAGCAGAGCTGTACAGCTGAATGTGGCTTCACTCAGCGTAATGTCAGACTACTGAATGCGTTTGAGAAGAACTCACCTCGGTGTCTGGCTGCCAGCGCTCTAATGCTTTCTGTGACTTCAGCTTTGACCAGACTATTCCAGAGAAAAGAGAAACTCATTTGAAGTGCAAGGACAGTTACCACGAGGGTCAATTTCCAAAACGGGTGCCTTTTGTGTGGTTTATTAACATGCATCAAAAATGATTTAATGAATAACTAAAGACTTTAAAATTACTAGCTAAAATAGAAACAATTGAGATCCTGCTCCATAACTACAAATTCTGGAATATGAGGATGTTTCTTGCAAACTTACTGCAAAGTGTCTCTGGAAGGCTTTGGGTCCTCTGTACGTGTAATTGCCACAGATCTCACAGTTGTAATTGATGTTCAGGCCGTGCAGCTTGTACAGCCAGTATGGAATCGGCTAAAGACAAGGTTAATGACACACTATCAGTCTTTTACCTCTAGAGCTGTGTGATATAGAAAAGAGTTAAAATGCTACAAAAACTGAGATGTTATTTACTAATGATCACTACTGTTCATTATGTTTTGGAGGGATTGGCATCAATTACCCATCAATCAGACCATCAATGTCTAATTTGAATTTAAAAAACAGCTTTCCGTTTTAATCTCTAATAAACCGATTTCCTTTCACCAAACCGAACCACCGTAATAAAAAGCAAGTGTACCTTTCCGTCCCAGCCGAGCGGCAGGTTTTTGGGGTTGTATATGATCTCATTATCTTCGTCTTCACTCTCGCTCTCGCTGGGCTGCTCTTCATCTTCCTCGTCACGCTCCTCTCCTGTACGCGCCTGCTTCCTCTGGACGTTCTCATGCGTCAGCTGCCTTTGCTCCTGCAGCGCACACACACATCAGCAACATCACTACAGACAATTCACACCAACGTCAGCAAACCACAACCACTCATAAAATAGACAATTAGTAGAGAAACACTGAAGTACATTACTCTGAAGGTCATTTACTAAAAGTGTCCCTGTAATGATAAAATCAATGTTATTCACTTCACCCGTCAGTGGTTTTAGTGTTGTGGCTGATCAGTGCATATATATTACAAAATTATAGTATAAATGTGAAATGAGAGGAGACTAAACATAAAACTACAGCAGGCAGACTGCTTACCCCCAGGATCTCCACATATTCATAAATCTGAGCTTCAAGAAAAGCAGATTCCTTGTTGCGCTCCGAGTCTCTGCAGACACAAGATAGATAGACAGAGGCAAATAATGAATACAAGGTTGAGCTGCATTTAAAAGAAAACAAAAATATTTTAATAAATCACTTGTTTCTACACCAATTTAAAGAGTTAGTTCACCCAAAAATGAAAATTAGCCCATAAATTACTCACCCTCAAGGCATCCTAGGTGTATATGACTTTCTTCTTTCAGACGAATCCAGTCGGAGTTATGTTAGAAATTGACTTTGATCTTTCAAGCTGTTTAATGGCACTCAGCAGGTGTTGCAGTGCTTCAGTCCAAAAGTGAAATAAAAAGCGCCCATCCTTAAAAAAAAGTGTCTCACATGGCTCACACGGGGGTGAACAAAGTCCTCCTGTAGCGAATCGATGCGTTTTCGTAAGAAAAATAACCACATTTAAAATGTGCTGACTGCCATTAAACAGCTTGAAAGATCAAAGACAATTTTTAACATAACTCCGACTGGATTCGTCTGAAAGAAGAAAGTCATATACACCTAGGATGCCTTGAGGGTGAGTAATTTATGGACTAATTTTCATTTTTGGGTGAACGAACCCTTTAAATTTGACTGCATTGTATTTACATAGTTTCCCAAACTGAGATAGGCTTACTTCTTCGGTCCCTTGGCTTTTGGGTTTTTGGCAAACAGTGAGGGGTCCAGTGCCTCCAAGGATTTGCCTTTAGTGCTGAACAGACGCTGGGCTCTCTCTTCTAGTGTGCTACAGTGAACAAACACACAACAATCACACATCTGGAGATTACATACAGACTCGAGAATCTGGGACTGCCAGCTCTCTGAATGCTTTATTTGTAAATGTGAAACTACAATTAAAGCAAGAGCAACATGCACAGGACAGTGTTCACACTCACCCTCCACATTTGAGACCTAAAGCCATGAGAGCAGACTTCAATCTGTCCAGACCCAGAGACGCCAGCTCCTGTGGCAATCAGACAACATTAAGGAAAACAGGGAAAAAAAATGAAGTCACATTTGTAGCAGACAAGACCAAAAGAAACTGACCTCCCAGGAAGAGAAGGCAGAGAGATCCAGATGGGCTCCAGCGTGAGTCAGAGCACTACTCGTCTCTTTCTGGAACACACACACATTCATAAAACATCTCAATTACAGCAGGACAAATCGATTTAACATCTTTCCTTAAATACGTGATGCGGCACCTGTCGCTGCATAACTAGTGGTAAACCCTAGGGCGTTATGATATGCTATATGCCATATGACAGTATACTCTGCTAAAGCCGCCTGAGACCCAGAAAAAACAAGTTTTGTGAATTTAGTATTTTTTCATGTTATTACATGGTTTCCAGCATAAGAAAAAAAAGTTAAATAGCAATTTTGAAAAATGCTATTTTATTCATATACTATGCCCTCTGTAGAGGACACCACGACTCAAAAAAATGTAATAAAAAGACACGAATGAACATGAATAGGCAAAACATCATAACCATAAGTTTTTAGGTTTCAGGATTTTTTTTATAGCAAACTGATTCTCAACTATGTTATGAAAGATATAACAAAGATATGGATGATTTGATATACCATTTTGCTTTATGCAGTGTGTGTGTGTGTGTAAAATGGCCATAAGAGGGTTTTCCCATTATATACTGCATCTAATTTGCATATTAATGTGTTATTTGGCCAACATGTAAAGAACAAATAAGTGTAATAATGGGCATGATTTTCATAATAATATCTAATATTTCATAGGAATATAATTTCTTTCCCTATTCGCTTCAATCGCTTTACGTATACATCGACTTTCCATGTCCACTGTGAAACCCGCGAGACACAACAAAACACAGCTCCGATCACAGCGTCCTCCATCCTCCTGTTATTAATGTTCTTCTTTGTTTCTGTTGTTGAACGCCGTGCACAAATGACGTCGCTGTCGACCGGCTTACGTCACTTCTTAGTACACACTCTCGGTGTGAATGCAACCCTTTAAATGGTACTGGGAAATAGTTCGCACAAAATCGTCCCAGTACTTTAGTACCGTACATTTAGGTCTGGAACTAAAGCGGTGCAAAAGGGCCTAATGAGAGCTTAGTTTAGTACTCACATGTTGTGGCAGCCGCTTTCTGTGCGTGTGCTTCGGATGTGTGGTCTCAGAAAACCGTATATCAGAAGTTTAAACTCATTTACCACTCACAGTAATAGAAGTTTACCACTCACAGTAATAGAAGTTTACCACTCACAGTAATAAAACGCATGATTTCAGCGCGATAAACATGATAATCAGAACCAAAACAGATGTTTTTGCAGTTACTGTAATGGCGCAGCTCTTTTCTGGAAAAGGGGGCGGGGAGCAGCAGCTCATTTGCATTTAAATACACAGGCCCGAAAAACAGCGTGTTTCTGCTTCCACTAAAAATACGCATTTTCTAAATGATATAATAAATGATCTGTGGAGTATTTTGAGCTGAAACTTCAGACACATTCTGGGGACACCAGAGACTTGTATTACATATTGTAAAAAGGGGCATAATGTCTCCTTTAAGCACAAACCCACCGGCCAGCCTGGAAACATCCCACTCTCCCACTTCTTCTCAAACTCTGCCAAGATCTTTCCATAGAGCTCATTCTGATCCAGCAGAGGCTTGACCCGATCCGTGTATTCCTGCAGGTACTCCAGCAACATCTCCAGATACCTACAAGAGCACAGACATGAGACCACTGACCAGAAACAACATGCATTCAACTAGACATCAGCAGCTTTCAAAC